TACATGACTGCCGTTTACTGTGTTGTGTGGATCTTTTTAAATTAAATGTTCGTTGTGCTAAAGTATCATCTGCCATTCAGCCAAACAGACTTAAAATGTAATGCGTCTGCGTCTACTGGCAGCATCAACTGGCACAACTACAGGTCTGATCTTGCTACAGTATATTTAACTTGCTCACAAATCTGATCAAGGTACAAAACAACCATATCACACCAGTCACGAGTTTCCATTATCCAATTCTGAGTTAAGATCAAACTTACACCCCCTTTGTATCCAGGAGGGTTATCAGCCCATGCTAAAGGCAACAATGTTTAATATTTAAAAATACCCTATTCCAGGTCTCCAGCTTCAATTGCTAACGGCAGCATAATGATGAGGTAGAGATATTGACTGGGAGGGCTCTGTTCTCTATTCTATACTCCCCACTGTGCTCATGTGTCTATTTTGTTAGAAAAAAATGTACAAAACAATGAATTGACACCCAAAAGCTACTGAGTGAACACTATCTGGAGTTCACTGACTTGGTTTTGTTACTTGAGGACAGTTTAAGGTGAGCCTGTTCCTTCTGCATTCGATAGTCCATACCGTAGGTTATAACTCATTTAATCTACTTTGCTTGATGGCGAAACTCCTAGGATTCTTCACACAAAAACTGCAATGTGAATAAACTGGGAGGGGACACGCTAATCAGAAAAAAAATGGAATGAGGCATATTAAGGAAAACCAAATTCTTAGACTGGCAATGTCCTGCTACAAAAAAGAATGCAACAGGGGATTCTAATGATCACAAAACCAAACCTTCCCAAGTTTCGTTTCTCTCCTGTCATCATTCCCCATGTAGAGAAAATCAAACTTACAAGTCTGAGTTTCTCATTCAGGATTGCTAGAGGGTTAAAAGTCATGGATGACAGCTTAGAATAAGCAAGATTTGGCATGCAAGGACTTTACAACACAGCTGAATGGGTCAGTGCACAGGAAAACTGTATACAGTAAGTGAAAAGAAAACAGCTAGTACATTTTCCATGGTGAGTTTTAATGAAGGACTCCTCTGCCAGTTCCACCCTAGTTTCTGAAGAGGACTAAAAGGTGGTTTTGTTGACGAAAATTAAAAATTTGCTTTGGAAACGCAAGAGCAATTTGTCATATCATCAGATGCACACGTTATCTGAGGATCCTTTGTATTGACTCACTTGCAGTTGAAGTCACTGTAAATAAACTCATCTGCTCTCAGACCCTTTAATACTGTTATTCCTGTTTTATGATGTTTTCTAACAGGGCAGATCTCAAAAGCATCTGTACAGCACAATAGGAGGACTGCACCTCATGTCCCAACTTTTTTAAGCACTCTACTTAGACGTCACACGCAGCTAAGATCATCACACAAGTGTGAGGTACATTATAATTGTCCTGCTATCTAGAAAATGGAAACTGCGTTAGTGTTACAAGTACACAACATTGTACAAGTAGAACAGTGTTAACAAACATGTACTGCCTTGCGTGCAAGGAGATAACACAGGTGTTTGTGAGCTTCTTCCACAACAATATCTGTCTCCTCTAATTTTTATATGATAGGGTCATGTTTTGACTGATTGGTCATTTACAAAGGCATATACAGTATGCAGTGAGCTTCAGCAGAAGTAAATATTTTCCATAAAAAAAGAGGCTAAGGTCCGTAACAGCTGTAGCACATGGTTTTATTGAAACATGCAGGAACATGAAGCACAGCCCTGCGTGATTCAACTTCCCTTTAACCCACAGGCGTTCGGACTAGCCAAAAGTGTGACCCTGCTGCTGCGGGTGTATACATCTGCGCACATTCATGAGTAAGCATCAGGCGGGGGTGTGCGTAACCCTGCCTGCCCTTCTGCAAGATGGGATTCTCACACTAAAGAGGTGTGTTGCTGTGGAAAATCCGTCTGACTTCTCCGTTAACGGGAGCAATCAGAAAAACAACTTCGTAGGTGCAGTACTGCCTACTCCATATTAAGCCTTTTTTAAGAGGATGATGTTTGCTTCATGTACAGGCCACATGGCCATTTTCAAAATCAGAAAATGTTGATTAACATAACATTAACATACATTTTGTGTACTATTTTCTAATTCATTCACCATTGGCACCTGAATGGTTTTCAAATTCAGAAGAATCTGATCTTGGATAGCTTTCTTTTTATGAATAACCTTTCCTAATGAACAGTGACATTTTGATGTTGTTAACCCTCTACAAAATAAATGATAATGTCCAGGAAGGAAATGCTTAATGACAACCGCTGCAACCTGCCTTTTCTTCATTGGGAATGATGTTACCATCTCATCCATGATTTAGGACATATTTTATAGAAACAATGTGTGATTTAGCAGAAGACAATAACAAAAATAACAAGAGAGGCTAAAAACTTACAAAATGACTCTATTAAATCTACAATTACATTTACAAAATAAGTTGAAATGGGATGCAGGTGGATGCTGCACATTGGTGGTGGTGGAGGGGAGTCCCAATTACCTGTAAAGCGCTTTGAGTTGAGTGTTCAGAAAAGCGCTATATAAGTGTAAGCAATTACTATTATTATTATTTAATAATAATAGTTTTCTAAATAAATTACAAATGGTAATCTCATTTAATGAGATTAATTATTAATGAAGGCCTTTGGTGATAACTCAGTAGAAAACCCCAAACAATTGATTTGAACTACTTTGCCTTTTCTCGGACCAGAATGCCAGTCAGTGAAATGGACCAAATCACTTTCACTCCACGAAGTTCATTTAATAATTCAGCGTGCAACAGCAGCTGCTTGTACAGTATGTCAAGCAATACATTCTTCAGCCCAAACTGGCATTACAGCTTGTAAAAAAATCATTCACAGCAGACAAAAGTGAAAGTTTAACGATGTTTTGCACCCTCTATAACACTGGAGTCAGGGAGATACTTCTTCTGACACTGGCATTTGTTAAATACTTGCATACATTGGCTACATAGTGTTTATAGTTTAAAGAGGTTTAATGGATCTGAGATACAACACACGACTGTATATATTACAAGTCATGACAAGAGGGGAATTTGACTGGCACATTTGTCCAGTCTTGGCAGAAGGGAGCACTGTGAGAATATAGCAGGTGTGTGGGCTGTTGCAGCTGTTTTAGTTTTTTTCCTTAACACAATGCCATACATGGACTAGAACCACTTTAAGAACCATTAAAGAAGGAAGAACACATGGGTTATATTGAGCCCCCCTACGAATTATATCCAACGGTCACTGAATACCAGTCTAATGAATGGGTTAGTTTATTACAACAAGCAACTTAATGTAGATGAAGGATAAGTTTAAATTTCTCCAAGGCCTAGGTCCAGTAAATCAGACATGCTTTTGAGTCTAATCCCAAATTCCACCCACCTACTGTAGTCTGTCTTGAGTAAACTGAAGGTACAACTTTGCAAAGGCAATGCATTGACTCCTCTCTGTTTTTCTCTTATCTAAATATCTGCATGTGTATTACTGCCGTATTCTACACATGTCCATGTGCACATTCAAACATTTTCTATTCTAAGAAGCAACTTGGAAATCCTAGGAAAATAAACTGCCAAGAAAATGCACTTTAAGAATATGAATCAACAGCTTTCAGTCTGGTTCCTGAAACAGTAAGGCCAATTGTCATCAGCCATCACAGCTGCAAAAGAAAAAATGTCTTACAAATTTACTACTTTGCACGAGCAAATTGTGAAATGTCATTTCAAAATCAGAGTAAACTGAATTATTGTTTTGCTGTTTTTGGAAACAGATGTTCATATAATCTTATTTGATCTTGAAGTATATCAAGTAAGACATCCTTAAATCAGCGGTATAAGGAGAGTTCTGCCATTGCCTATATGCAGCCTATTGTATTACATTACACTAACAGTAATAGTGTAATGTGAAAATGTAAAAAATCATAGAAAACGTTCAAAAGCTGTGCATGACACTGTATTTTTTTTGCTTGTGACTGTAATTTCAAAACTATAATCATTAAATTAAAAGACATATACAATGACTTTATTTTCATTATAAACCATGTAACCGCATAGTGTATTCCTATAGCTGGGAACACGCAAAGTCTTGAAATGTATCATTCTATCTTAAAAGCCAGTCTTAAAACAGTACAAAATCATCTTGCAGGATATTAGTTTAAGGCCATAACAAAAATAATGTCATATACATTAAAGAATACTTCTCAAAATTAAAAATGCCAAAGAGTAATCAAAGTTTCCACTCGTTAACACAAAAAAAAACAAAACACCGAGAACGATTACAGATATTATTATAGTTGCGGAATTGCTCGGAACGAAAATTTAGCAACAGCACAAGTGAAGGCAACACATTCACCTGGAGAATAACACAAAAGATCTTTTATGATACAACACGTTAAACCAAAACTCAAAAGACATTTAAAATTCACTTTATAAACATTTAACATCAACGAGCAGCCGATCGGTCTGGATGTAGTGTTTCCAGCAAACGCAGTACCAAGCGAGATATATAAAAAGGCAATCGAACAAGGGGAATAAAACCATTTATACTCAGTTCTACGTGCTCAGAAAAAAACCCTGATAAAGTATTTATTTTTATCCAGCTGAATGTTTCATGTTGTACGTATCCTACTATCAAGGTCATTCATCCTCATTCAACACACTTTAAAACGTACATTTTCCTATCCAAGATTAATCTAAAAGTCTGGAATTCAACTTAGTGCGACATATTTACTATAACATTTTATAAAACAAAGCATTAAAACCCTACCATTTTTCAAAACAACCCTTTAAAAACAAAAGATTATGACCCTCCATTTCTTCACCTTCTTCACCTGCAGTCAGAACTTTTTTTTTAACTTTTTTAGCACAGTTTTGATCGGGCACAACTGCTTCTCAAGATCTCAAACAATCTGCCTCTTCCTCCTCCACACCCCTTACAAAATATTTGTAAAATTAAACTGACATTAAGTACTGAAACATGTTCCATTTCTTTCCATACCTGTAGGACACCTGAGTCTTTCAAAGCAGCCTTAGTTTACACGTCCTCAAGTTCTTCCTGTTAAAGCTGTATAGCTGTATTCGTGTTAGGACAAGCTGCGTTCCCTGCACTTACTAGACCTCGGCTCTATTTGCATAAATTTACTAAGAAAAAGAAACATAACAAGACAGCTCTGAGAATTGTGTTCTGTACTCAGTGTGTCCAGCGGAGGAACGAATAATTCAAGGTTTCGTTTATAAAAGAAAAGAAAAAGGAAGAGAGTAACCAGGCTAAAATAAAGTTCACTTTACCTCCCTCCCGTTCCTGCTTCGCTTATCTATGCGGAGCTGCATGAAAATTAAACAGTGGGAGTAGATTGAATATTGGGTATGGCTACGACTGACATCAAAAAGAGGGAGGTTTTCATTGCTCAGCTCAAGAAAACTGACAACTACAGTTGAGATGTAAAGGGATTACACTGCACCACCAGTGTAAACAACGACCTCAGTGGGTACTATGGCTGAAAAAGTTAAAAGAGTGCATAACTAATGTACGTCACTTATTAATTCTTTAAAATCCCTCGGATACCTTTATAGAAGCTTAACACCTTCTTGCAGATATGTCAATGCATGACTTTGTATTGTATGCAGTTCGTACTTACCTTCCGATTTAAGAACAGGAATTCGGAGGTTCGGTACGATAGCTTTGCAGGCAAGTGAGCTCTTTGTAAAAGCAGCTGTGCAGGAAATTTTATGACTTTAATTTAATTTACATACGACACGGACGCAGAAAAGCATCCTCTCATTTTAAAGGGTTTTTTTTTTCCTGTTTGATTAACAGAATGATTGACCGACAATTTACCTTTGATTTTATTCTGAATAATCAGATAATATATATTTGTATATTTTGTTTCCTCAGGAAGGATCCAAGAATACAAGTGAGTATACTGTATAGTTGCGAACTCACTTGATCCACCACTGAAGTGCAGCATAAACTGTACCTGGTTGACCCTCTAATATACAGTAGCAATTCACCCTTAGGGAGGCTAATTTAGAGGCGCTCAGTCATAAACCCAAAGATGGTAGCTCCTCAGTCAAACTCATACATCAGGATTAAACTTCAAACTGGAATTTAGAATGGAATGGGATTTAGCCAGGACACAAGATGTGTTGTTACTATTCTTCCAAACAGTGACATTGGGTCTTTACATTTTAACATCGCATCCAGAACCTCCCACAGCACAATTTCCCCTGAGTCGCACCAGGGGACTCTGGGGCGTTGGTTTGGAAATTTGGAAATTCTAGTCCAGGAGGAAGAAGCAGCACTGACTGGTCCCAAAAAACCACTTAGACCAGCAACCTGGTTTAACTTCAAGGTCTCCCATCACCTTCTGAGATCTCTCTACAATCAGGCGGTAACACTAAAGTGAGGATAAAGATTTTGAGCAGTCCTCCTAACTTAGCATGATGAATTTGATATCAAGAATATTGTTTAACCATATGCTTTTATTCATCAGAAGATGCCTTCGTGTCCCAGGACGAGGACCACATTAAATGCCAGACTTAGCTATTTTATCATTCGCCATCCAAATGACAAAACTCTGTCGTAAGTGCTGTGCAATCTGGTTTTTTAAAAACAGCAAGCAAATCTCTTCTTTTGCCAGACAAACATTTGAATTTGTTGTGGGAACTATAATAAAAACCTTTAAAGTCTTGGGAGGAGCCACAACAGCTTGCATTTTGTGTGTTTGGCTGAAGACGGGCCTCCATTTGAGGTTTCCTATTTTTAAACTGCTCATTTTAAGGGGGTAGAACAGACATTTCTCATTAAATGAATGGGAGATAGTGCTGTTTTAGAAAATTAAGTGTTGCCTGGTTCTTTATTTGTATAGGAGAAATTTACAGAGCCATTACATGAATAAACAGACACTCCCAGAGATTCAAAGAGTCCTTTCCTCAACAGGCACATGATTACTAGCTTTAAGAACATGTAACTTGCCAGAAGGAAGTTGTGGCTGCAGATAGCCTTTCCTCAAAAAGGCGCCTCAGTCAATCTGATTGACTTTAAAAGGAAGGGCATAGCTGGACATTGAGATATAGGCAGATTCAAGTTGGGAATCTGTGCTGTTGATACCAGAAAATAAATGTATGGAAAAGAAGAAAATAGTC